ATCTTTTGTTCACAAAAATACTCTGCTCTCATGAATATCAAACAATTGCAAACACAACACAGTTTATCCCCCCCCCCCAAAAAAAAAATACATCTTTGTTAATTATATGTGTTGCAGAATTATTGACACTGTTTTAGTCAATACTTTGTGCTACCTCCCTTTTCCAATATAAATATGAAATTTGAAATATGCATGTCAATGGATCTGAGACCATACATCCATTTAGAATCTCTCCAGATTGTTCAAATTTTGAGGTCGACACTGTTGGGCTCTCTTCTTCAGTTCATCCTACAGTTTTTCTCTGAGGTTCTAGTCAGGGGACTGAGAAGGCCATGTTAGTTTCATATGGCTACCACTCTGTGTGCTCTAAACCCGCATTTGATGTTTAGTGCCAAACTGTTCCATTTTGTTTTTTTCTGACCATGCATCAATCCTATCCCATTTGAAATTCTAGTAGTGTCTGGAAAACTGAAGATGCTTGAGTTTGTTTTTGGATAAGAGTAGAGACTTTTTTCTGGAAACTCTTCCAAGCATCTTTTGTGTGGATATAGGTGAGGTCGGATTGTAGTTTTGGAGATCCCAAGAAGAAACTAACTTCTGCAGTTATTATTATTATTATTGGCATTTATATAGTGCCAACAGATTCCGTAGCGCTTTACAATATTATGAGAGAGGGATTTAACTATAAATAGGACAATTACAAATAAACTTACGGGAACAATAGGTTGAAGAGGACCCTGCTCAATTTAGCTTACAGGTATGTGAGATAGAGGTTACTCTGGGAGGCCATAAGCTTTCCTAAAGAGATCGGTTTTAAGGCACTTCTTAAAAGATGCAAGACTAGGGAGAGTCTGATGGCGGTAGGCAGTCTATTCCATAGGAAGGGAGCCGCCCGTGAGAAGTCTTGCAAGCGTGAGTTGGCCATACAGGTGTGGACAACGGACAGGAGGTGGTCACGGGCAGAGCGGAGAGACCAAGAAGGGACATACCTATGGATCTGTGAGGAGATATAAGAGGGGCTAGAGTTGTTCAGTGCTTTATAGGTGTGAATTAGTACCTTGAATTGACTCCTATAGTATACAGGAAGCCAATGGTTCTCGAGCTGTGATCCTTGGAGATTTTACTGCCATTTGAACGATTCACTTCATTAAGACAATATAAACACAGTCCCTCTTCCAGGTTGATTCATAACATTTCCAGTTCATTAGAGATTCCTAATTATTGCCCTGATGGCAGAAATATGCATGTTTAATGATTTTGCTATTTTCTTATAGCCACTTCCCATTTTGTGAAGCTCAACAAACTTTTGTCACACATCACAGTTATATTCATTGGTCTTACCCATTGTGATGAATAGCTAAGGGAATTTGGCCTATGTGTTGCTTCCTATTTATACACCTGTGAAACATGAAGTTATGGCTGAACAATTTCCTGATCCTGATCACCCTGGTGTACTAAAAATGTAAAATATTAATGGGGATATACTTCAAATATTTTTTTCTTATATAAATTCATAGAGGTGATAAAAATTGTGCTACACATGTATTTTTTTTATAAAGCTGTGTTGCCTGTGTTGTGTTTGCAATTGTTTGATATCCATAAGAGAGTGTGTTTTATATATATATATATATATATATATATATATATATATATATATATATAAATTACAAAGGATTGAAAGGTTAAACATTAAAGACACTTTTTAACAGGTGTCTTTGCTCAAATTTACCAAGAGTGCCAATATTCGTGGAAAATTATATATAATTTCCAATAATGTATAGAAATTAGTCATCTTTTTCTGATTTCAAATATACACATCTCTTGTAATCTTGCAATATTTATAAATTTCCTATGTAATAATTTCAATATATTTTATTTCATACCAATTCTTTAATTTTTCAACTTAAATATTCCATACTTTATGGGCTGTTGTGAATGCTACCTTTACAATTCATTCATCTCCATAGAGATTAGCAGTTTAAAACAAAATATATTAAACAAATAAAAATTGATTGATTTTCAAATCTAACTAATTTAGCTTGAACCGCAAGTCTAAATGTATTTACCTAAGCGAAGTTAAAATTCTTTCTTAGCACATCTCTAATGTCAGTTATACATATTCTCTGTACACTTAGGTTTCATTCACCTTGAGTAATGAGCATTACAATTTCAAAATAGTTCCAGTTCCAGTAATTTGATTAACATGTTACTGGTAATTACGTAGAGTAAATATAAGGACCTATGCATTGTGCTGGTTTAATTTTAAGCACATAAAAAGAGCTTTAAAGAATGTAGTGCTGTCAATTAATTTTGCCCACAATATTCCTGAAAATCAGATGCTGCATTAGAGAATAAGTATATGCATGGCTGTACCACTCAATAATCTCTACATATTTAATTTAAAAAAAAATATTGTTTGTGTACTCTACATATTTTTCCCAAACAATTATATTCTTTATATTCTTTATATCAGTTTCCTGTTATAAAGGCAGAGATGATATTTGATGGGTTATCCAACCACATTATAAATCTATGGTTATCATATTCCCATTTAGAAGATACTTTGAAACCTATAACACAACTTTGCATTTACTTAAGATTGATTTTGCTGAGTGCACTTTGCATCAAGTCTTTTATTTTAATTTGGAGAAATGGTAATCCTATTATATCTATTTCATGTTCTCTGATTGATTTCTGTTTCTGATATAAAAGCCTTGAATATCCACTATATTGTAGCAGCCATTATAGTAGACATGTCTGCAAAGCAAAAGGGCCATCATGAATTAGAATTTCATATCCATTAAGCCGATACCCCCAACATAAACATGGTATAATATATAACAAAATGCCTCCTTTAACCCCTTAAGGACACATGACATGTGTGACATGTCATGATTCCCTTTTATTCCAGAAGTTTGGTCCTTAAGGGGTTAAAGCATAATGGTTTGTTGCATGCATTTTGGGATTGTTTTCTCTTTCATTAAATTGTTATTTAAATCTAACAGTTTGTTATTTTATATCATTATGACAGTGGGCCCAAGTATAGTCCTCTATTCACTCCTAACAATCCAAAGAAAAGAAAATCAGTGTTTAACAGCTAAACCTTTCAGGGTAACTTATTTATCTCATATCTAAATTTTCTAATTTTACCCGTAGGTTCTGGATTGTAAGTTGTGTCTTCAGGACTTAAGAAAGAATGATTGCATTTTATACACTTCTGAGTGCCTACCAAAATAATATGTTCCACCTAAAAATGCTGCTTTAATTTAAAATTTAATATGTAGGCTTTCTTCTATGAACCCACGTCACTTAAAGCACCTGTTACCTGGGGATTTACATTCCATACCTACCAGTTATTTGTTGTTAGAATTATTGCAATAATTTATGATTCTTCATCCTTATGAAAAAATAAGTAATATCCTTCTTTAGAAAAAAAAATGTACCTTCAACATATGGCTACTCCTCTTATATTAATGCATTCACTTTTGTAAAGAAATATATTTTTATGGGAAAACAATTTGTAAAAGTATGATGTAAATTTTCAGTGCAATGTAAACAAAATAAAATTAATAATTGATTTCTAAGTATTATTTCTTTTCCACTTGAATATTATACCTTATGCAAAAGTATTATTCTAAGATCTGCATGAACAAAAATACACCAAAAAATGGTTTATGTATGTGTTTAATATTTAAATGAAAAAATATAAATTCTGAACAGTTGAAATACTAATGAAAATAAACGTAAATATATAAATAGTGAAATATGATATTAAAAAAGCTTTTAAAAAATTGGATTTTTTAAAAAAGTCTAAAAAAATAAAATCAGGAATAAAATAAAGGGAGATTTTCTTAAATGTTAACATTATGACATTTGTTTTATTTCCTTTTAATATTCAAGCTACGGTAACTTAGTTCAAGGTAACTGTGCATACTAAATACAAAACATCAATCCTAAAGTTATTCAATGTGCATAGAATATGATTTACCATTGAACTAGATTGGCAGCTGATAAATAGATGTTGTAAATTAACAATTTCAACTATTTCAACAATGGTGAAGAAAATAGGGCTAAGTTAACTTTGTGAGTATTAGGATCTATGTCTGTGAGGTTTGGTCAGATTCTGCATTTGTAACAGGGTTGATGTTCCAGGAGGGATAAGCCAAATGGCAAATGATTTAGGTAAACTAGATAAAATGGTCAGAGTTGTGGCAACTAAGATTTAATGTGGATAAGTGCAAGATAATGCATCTTGGATGTAAAAACCCAAGGGCAGAGTACAGAATATTTGATAGAGTCCTAACCTCAACACATGAGGAAAGGGATTTAGGGGTGATTATTTCTGATGACTTAAAGGTAGGTAGATAATTTAATAGAGCAGCAGGAAATGCTAGCAGAATGCTTGGTTGTATAGGGAGAGGTATTAGCAGTAGAAAGAGGGAAGTGCTCATGCCATTGTACAGAACACTGGTGAGACCTCACTTGTATCTTCAGAAGGATATTGATATTGAGTTTAAGCATGTGTGGGATAGGCATAAGGCTATCCTAGACTTAAGATAAGGCCAGGGACTAATGAAAGTATTTAGAAAATTGGGCAGACTAGATGGGCCGAATGGTTCTTATCTGCCATCACAATTTATGTTTCTACTTTAGCCAAGGTTTCTTTGAGGAATGAAACATTCAAATTGACACTTGTGTAGCCAATTAAAGTTGGAATTAACTAAGAATATTTACTATAAGAAAGATAAGTGAGACAAGTGACAGAGGTGGATAAAAGGAGAGGGCATCTGGAAAACATTCAAAACTAATTTGGATTTTATCATTGGAGTTGTACTTTAGCCCCTATGGAAACTGAGTTACTTAGTGTAAGTTCCTAAGTTATATAGAAAGACGGATATGCTGACCATATATAAAGTATATATACTGGGTTGTTATATTGAATGTGCTAAAATATAAATATTAAACATTATTAATTTTATGCTGAAACATATCTAAGGAAATATGCATATGAAAGTGAATAACTTGATTTAGCTCTCACAGTACATTTTAGTATTTGAAAAGGTACTTCAGCTGTTCCCATAAAATATCAATCAATATAGAGTGATGGCACACACTGTAATTTGATAATAGAGTTTACCAAAAACCAAACACAAACTTACACTATAATATACACTGAGTTTAAAATTGAAGTTCAAATGTGATCTTTATAAGGATTCTATTAGCATTGCAGTTCTTCGCTTCATTCACAGAAACTGAACCATGTGTTTATCACTCCACTTTCCAAAATGAAAATTGTTCTCTCCTTGTCGCTTTTGTATAACTGCAACCAGAGGGTGTGTTTCAAATGCCAGCTGCTACTTACTCCACAGCTTGTGATGACTGATAATAATTCCTGTAAACATAGGTTCCTATATTCATTACGTTGATTAATTACTCGGTAAGTGCACACTTGACACATTCCATCTCATAATATAAAAAAAAATAGTAATTAGTTACCTGTTATTGCCCAAGTTGGTAGCATCACAGAATAACTATCCCCATTGTGTATTCCCAATAAAACTTTGGTGAAAAGAAACAAAATAAATAAAAATACAAACTTGAGACATATGTAGCATTACAGAAAAAAAATATTGGTTTCCCTTCAAAATGGCCCACCTCCATAATGTTCCTACTAGAAAAAGTACTTTTATTTGCTAATTTAAAATCTCTTTGCACCAGAGACTTTAAGGTGAAAGTTGCGTACTTCCGCTTGCTAACCTGCTCAGTGATACCAATACTTTTGTTTATATATATACCTCAGTTCCTTAAGTCAGTAATTTCCTGAGGTTTTGCTTCATATTCAAATTTGCATCCCTGTAAATATCTACTTCCAAATTTTCAGTAAACATCTTCATATCAATGTAGCAGCTCCTCACTCAACTTCTTGATAGAAGGTCTCTTTGCTAACAATACCTGGCTCATTGTTGGATGCCTACTTTATTGGCTCCACTGGATACTGAGCACTTCTTCATATCACAAGTAGAATTGGCTGCTCGCATTGTGTTGATTGTCATGATGGTATCAGGATTTTTTTTTAATTCTTTCACCACCTGAATATCCTTAGCTTCATTTAAATCTATATTGTTATCATCATGCATGCATTTGTTCTCTGGCACAGGAAGTGTTTCTACCTCTGGCACCATGACTTAATATAGACATCTTTGCAGTTTATCATGGTATATCCCTGATTGCTGTCAAGGTTCATTATCCACCATGCAAACAATGCAGTGAATAGTACCCTATTCTGAGACAGTACATATTATTGGACCTTAGAGTGGCCAGACTTAATGTATAAGAGTATATAATGCTTTATATATAGACAGAAGTCAATACCAGAATAACACATTGTAAGTTAAATAATACACTTTCTGGCAACTGAAACTATGACAGGTTAAGGAACTGAGGTCAAAAAGGTAAGTCCCAGTTAAGTTATCATTGGCTTGTGTCCTGAGTAATGTGATTATGCGGGTAGGTTGGGCACCCATCTATGATGCAGCTCATATTATGCATATATAGGTTTAATGGTATAGTGTTCTGCATCATGAATGCCAGAACAAAACAAAACCTGATATAATTGCATGTGCTGCTGACCATGCTGAAAGGTTTGACCAGGCAAAGGTAACTAGTGCATAGAAAATTGAAAGAAACACGTGCTAGGTCAATCACTGCCTGCCACTTGTCTGGCTGTTAATGGTGCCTGCATGTACAATGGATGCTGGGGAAACATCTGACCAGCTGGGGTGTGACCAATTGCAATGTCAGTAGTTCCGCACCTTATCCAAGCTTAACCCAAATCAGAAATATAGGAAACAAGTGCCAGTAATGATGTTCAATTAGCAATTTCCCTTTTTTATTAATTTGCATTGGTCAATATATACCAAACATTCTTTTACATATTTTCTGTCTGTTCACCCAAGTATCAAAACAGTAATACCTAACTTGGAGAGAATGACAAAAACCTTCCCAATTGGCATTCCATGGACCTTTTCTAGTCAGACATTTGTCTGCAGTGGATTCAGTTTCTCCCACACATTGTTCAATACTGAATATTTGTATAGCGCGCATAAATTCTCATGTAGTGTTCGTACACATTCTCTTGTAATGTTCTTAACAAACAACAAGTTACATGTTTCCTTTTAAATTTTAAAAGTGAGGATAGGATGCATAGCCAGAGAGTTCTGAGACAAATGGTGGAAAAAAATATTTTTAAAGCCTTATTACCCGTATCCAACAATTTTTTCAGGCCTGTGCTGGAGACATAATCTTGTAGGCTTGAGTAGAGTGTGCCCAGTGGCTGGTGCATGGCGGACCTGAAGTGGAGCAGACCTGTGGCCTATTAACAGTTGGTGAGGGGGACACTGCCGATCCCTTTACTGGCTACCTATACTTTTGTGGCTCCCTGGGTCCTCTCCTTTTCTCCCTCTCACCCGATGGTAAGGGTTATCCCGGCAAACATACCTGGGCTGCGGTGAGCGCCTACTAGCATCAGCAGACACGCTGCAGAAATCTTGTTCCTCACAAATTCAAAGTAAGATTCTTAGGTTTGTATATTTGGGTACACTCCTACAGAAAATAGAACTCCAGGGGAAATAAGCAATTCTGTTCATACACTCCATAATGCATGAATGAAGTCAAAACAACACTTACACTGTGCTATTTACCTTTTTAGCCCAAATGGCAGATGTTTTCTTCAGAATTTTAATAGAAAACAATAATAAAGAAACAACAAAAAAACAATTATAAATAAAATTTATATACCAATTAGAATACCACTCACAAGTGGGGAGCAAAAATAGTCTGGTCCTGCTTTCACCACTTTTAATATCCCAAGCCAGGTATGTGAAGAACTAGGTGGCAGCAGCAAGCACTTTCAGAGCTTTATTTCCAGATATTAAATACAATTATACCATACCAACTCCAGCTTGTGACTCCTTCTTAAGCATACAGATACAGTCCCTCCAGTCAGCCGCCGGCTTCAGCCTTACTTCGGGCTGTGAATGCTTCAGGGCACTTCATGGGGGTGGAGTTTCGTATTGACATATGAAATGTTGTGATGTGATGATGTGGCGTAAAGTGATGACGTGTTTCGCCTTGTATCGGCTTCCTCAGGTCATTCCTCCACTTGCTGCTCTCCATCATTTAAATCTGCCTGAATGGGCGTGCATAAATTAAAATTCTAAAAATCATTGGTCGGCCTGCGAAACCCTACTTGGAGACTTATGTAAAAGTCCTTTCATGATTTATTTAATGCATTTGGACTTCCATAGAATTTCATTAAAGTACTATGTATCTTCCAATGTGGTATATCCACTAAACATTGCACAATTCCATGCATGTAATATGCAAAATAAAAGCATTTTATATACATATTTACTCTATCTTTGAATGCAATAATATAATGGATGCTCCGCTTGCCTG